CATTTACCCTGATAATCTAGGTATTGTCAGAGAATGGAGATAATGGCTGAGGATGTTTCTAGAGTTGTTGAAGGAACCAGGGAACTTTTGTCATATCAAAATAACACCAGTGTCTTTATTTTATTGAAATGGAAAAGTTATTATTAAAGAATTCTTGATAAAAATAAAGATTAATTTGTTCACAGCTGCAAATTTAGCTCAGTACAGGACCACAGACAAAATAAAATGTCATATATTTTACATTTCTGAGTCAATAAAATTGATAGCAGCTCCATTCATTCTGGAACATTATTGACATATAGGGGATTGTGTTACATGACATATAGGGGAGAAATTAACATATGGGAAGATTTTTATTACATAAAACAGAAAACTAGCATAACACATTATGTGAATTGCTTTGATTATATTTATTATTTTTAATTTAGTATTTCACTGGCATACCAGGGACGGTTATTTGGGTTTATAATGAAAATAAATATAATAATAACTTATATAATTATTAACCATCATATTGAAAAACCAAAAAAGAAAACAATCCCATTTCAAGTGCCTAAGTCTACTTAGAGACATCTAGAACCTCTGATGAAAGGTGTTTGGCATGATTTGGCAAGATGTAAAGGGCAAAGTATTTATGATGAATACAGAGTTGGATAAAGTGGCACAAAATTGCATCCTGAGTATTTTGTTTTCTACTGCTAATGTCAGGCTCATAAATGTGCAGATGAGGCTGGGACATGGCAGTTCCATACCAAGGTGGTGTTGTCATGGCTGACTGATGAATTAGAATCCCTTATCTGTGGTGAGCAGTGACTAGAAGCACGCCAACTTATTTGGATGTTTGTTTGGTCAGTTGTTTTTATAAACTCAAGATAGCCCTATCTATTTTACCTTTCTTCAATATCTGCCGCAATGATCTTTCAAATATGAAGTGATATTGTTATCAGGAAAAAGCTTAGGATTTTTGTCAAGGATTACCAAAGGGTTGATCAAGACAGAGCCCTGACTGCATGAAAATATAAGGGAAGAAAAATCACAAGAACATTTTCCCCATAAGTGGTTTCTTGCAGTTACAAACACATAGAAAAAAAAACACAGCCTTTTTCATTTCAAAATATTACTCAAGTTTTTATATGTGAATGCCAGAGTTTCCAATGAAAAGCTTGGTTGTTGTAAAAAAGAAATACTGCTTTTAATTTGTAATTACAAAATGCATGTAGATCAAACTATGTATTCAGATTTTGAGAATAGAGTTGAAATTGGCTCATGCCGATAAATAGGCATAGAAAGCATTCAATCCATTTGAGAGGGTATATTTATAATTCTGTTGTTAAGAATAACTACTTTAAAGGAGTCAAACATCCAGTTTTTATGAGAGCTAGCTTTTGTATCATACACTTGCTGATACTGTTTTCCTCTGACTACTCTTAGAAGTCAGTTTTAAATTAATTGTTAAATTCTAGCAAATTAAATATTGTTAGCAGAAATGATTATAATTTCAAATGATAAAAGAAGAAAATGACTAATTAATGCCCTAAAGAAAATCATTGTTTTTACAATATAGCTCCATGTGTGAATAAAGAAATATTTTTAAAACCCCAAACACTCCATGAAGTTTTTTCAGGGAAAAGCAACTACATACTAGTATGGCTTAATATTATGTAGATTTGACATCAAATGCATTTCATTTCAAATATGTAGCAATTTGAACACTAAGTGTAAGTGGAATTTAAAAAAAAATTTTAAAAATATATAGAAATAAGATTTAGATGTTGGAATCAATTTGAGTGGCAAAGGACTTTCTTCCACTAAATTAGCTTTTGTTTTCAGCACATCTCTGTAAAATAATCATTATCTCTATTTTTTCTCAGAGGAAAATCATCAAAAAATCTGGGAAGTTGGCTCAGTTGCCTTATAGTTTGTGGTGAAGCCAGCAACTGTGTTCACCATTCTGTGATGTTCAGTCTTGTGCGTAGATCTCTGACCACCAGTCTTCTCTCAACTACTCAACACTTCTCAACATTTTTCTACAATCTTTTTAAAAACCAGATGTCACCAAGTGAAATTCTTGACTATTTGATAAAAGCTTAATTTTTTAAAATCTCAAGAATTTGATTTATTTTACATGTATAATAATTATAGTTCAAAGCCATAATAAACACAAAGTATTTCATGAAGGGTCTTTATCCAATATTAGCCTTTCTTAATCCAAGTATCCTGCACTGAAATTATACAATAATATGTTTTAGACTGGCTTGACAAATGTCCAATAAAACTCACATGTTATTGTCGGTTAATATAATTTCATATACCCATACTATGGTATCAAAACTCTGTAACATTATCAATGGATTTATGTTGGACAGCTCAAAGACTTTTAAAAATTGTTTACTTGCATCAGTGTAATTTGAGTTTCTAATAAAGGATTCTTTTTTGTTTTGTGGATTTTCTTTAGTCTTTTTTACCCCGGTCTGCAACTACTTAGAATTAAAGGTTTGATAAATATTTATGTTGTCTACTGAAACTCCGTAGTTTGTATAAAATGACACAATTACATTACCAGATGAAACTACTACATAATAACCTTGGTAGACAAAATAGTACCTTGGCATTACATCTACCTATACTCTTATCCAGTACTCTAAAATGATTAAGATCCTCAAGTGGAAAGTTAGAATTCTTTTTAATGTAAAACCAACCTACTCAATGGAAGTAAAATTATTTACCTTAGCATTTAAAAAACGACAGGTATCAAGAGTTTTGAGACTCATATTTTAAAAATTCTATGTGTATACATTAACCTTGTAGCTGGTCACTATACAATTACTTAATTTTAGATATTCTCTTCACTCACAAATTATTTTAGTTCTACTTGTTGGAAACTGCATTTAGAGCAGCTATTTTTTTCATAAAAGGATGTGACACAATTCTACATGATCTTGGTTAACTAAATCAAACTCTAAGATACTCAACTGGATCCTACATATTAATGATCAGATTTGACTTCAGATACATCTGGCAGTTTCCACAGTCAACTCATCCACTCAGGAAGGTTGGGTTTCTATCATTGAGAAGGGGGAAAGAAGACCTGACAACTGAAGGTCTTCCTTAGTCCTGAACACTGCTGATCCCTCCAGGGAATTCTTTAAACTCTGTGGCCTTTCACAACCCACAAGGACTTTAATTAAAAAGCACATATAAGGTTTGCCTAGTGTAGAACCCTGCCTCCCAACCACCATTCATCATTGTGGTAAGCTATAAATTCATTCCTGGAAGTAACAATCTTGTAGACCACATGAAAGTGTTGTATCAACATATCCATCTTTCACTGTAAGCCCTAATACCACTCTCAGAACTAACAAGTAGGCAATAGAGATATGCCTCATAAATGATCCATTTCATCCCAACAAAAGTCTTTCTAGTTATTGAAGCACATCATACAAAGACCAAGGGAGATGCACCAGAAGTTAATCTCTGTGTTTAACAAAACCAACAGAAGTTATTAGGTAAAACATAAGGTTTTAGGACTTAGTTCAAATAATTCTTGCAGCAATGTCGACTGTGACTGATTTTTTTTTCTTTTTGCTGTGAAAGAAATGGTCTTAATAAAGAGGCCATTAGCAAAAACACAATAAACTCAGGGCAGACTCAGTTATGGTTCAAGTGAGGTTCACTTCTACCAATAAGAAAAAGTGCAACACGGGAATAGGATGAAGAATGTAAACACTTATTGCTCCTTTCCACACCCACTGCCAGTTTTATATTGCTTTTATCAGTATTGGTTTGGTTTTGAATATATTAATCCAGGTTGGGAAAGGAGAGACATAGCTTACATGACCTTGGTGTAAATCTACTCCTAAAAGTGAATAAGTGAATTAGCAACTCCAATATTAATTGTGAGACGTACATTTTAAATGAGTAGATAAATAACCTACTGTGCTATGTATGCCCAAGATAGAAAGGAACATGGAACATTTTTTCTTGATAAAAGTGAAGAGTACTTGTTTTGTTCACTACAGAAAAGCAGTTTTATTGCTGAAAAGATGTGAGAAATCATCTTTTAGTTTGAAGAATTTAAGGGCAAGGTATAAGTTGGCTATTTAAACTTACCCTATTCTTCAGAGATGAAGGCTTCAATAAAGTGGCTTCTTTTAGGGTCACTGTTTTCCCCACCATTTCATGCTGCTTTGTTGTGTGCAATTATTAATGCAATGGCATTTATGCTTATGTACGGAAAGGTAACTCTATACAGTCATGTAAAGGGAGAAGTGTTTAGACCACTGCAGTCATTTTTTAGATTTGTGATCTGACTTCTTCAGAAAAGTTGGAATATTAACATGGGTACAAAAATATAGTAATTGAAATTTTAACTGAGTAAAATTGAATGTCTGTGTTTATTATATATTGCCTCTGTTCCTTGGAAACTCGTAAGTGCTCATCCATAACATACTTTGATCTCATCCTTAAAATTTCATTCAATTCTTAATCCTTTATTTCCTGTTCTTTTAATTTCCAAATGAGTATAAATATTCTCTTAAATAGTTCCTTGTCAACAAAATTACATCTCTGATGATAATGGCAGTGAGTGACTGCAATAGTGAGAGAAAATCCAGTAATACCTAAGATAGCAAAGTTTCAGAGGAAGTAGTAGTGATATAACTTGCCAAGAGCCATCTGTGTTTGCTTACGTGACTAAAACAACTACTCTTCAAAGTTCAGAACGAATGAGAGGTGTAATGTGTCATGTGTAATCACCTGTTTTCTCAGAAGAGAAATAGAGTAACTCCCCAACAACTGTTTCCCATTTGTCTGGAAGAGTTGGATGAGGTAAAGCAATGCTTTTTTGCAGAGGCTTTTGGCTCTTGCAATGCATTTATATTTGTTTCAAATGAAACCAAAGACACTTACTCTATCACCTTCCTTGCCATGGGTGTGATGCAAGGGAAGATATGTATAACTATAAATTCACACTACCTTTGGGAATTTCACAGCACCATTGCTGACCAATCTGAATTGTCAATCTTTATTCATGAAAAAGGCTCCTTCAGGGAAAGGATATAACTTTGTAGCAGTCTGAGCTATAACAGATGTTGATCCTATTTTGATAAATACATGGAGTAAGAGGAAACAATTCACAGAGAATCCACTGTAAGTTCTATGGTTAGGCTTCATCCTTTATTAGGTAGTGAATAAAAGACAACTGATGTTTACAACTCCAATTTAAGAGACCATTTAAACAGAAATGGTTCCATAGCAAAGTGAGGCAGAAGGGATCCAGGTATTTCTGAGTTTTCTCATATGGCTGATGAAGAAAATATGGCTGATTTGTTTGTTCCCAGAAAATCACTACAGTTAGTAACACCTTGTGACCCAGGATTCTGTATCCACAGGCCCTGACTTTTAGTGGACTGGCTCATTCACATTGGCAAAAATGAGGACAACAAAAGCACAATGCATCAATTAACATCAAGTTCTCCAACAGAGAGACCTCATCAGATGCAAAGACTGCTGTATAGGGATGACTACAGTGAAAGATCAAAATATTTCATACTGCAAAAAAAGAAAAAAAATCAAGATGGTTAGAATGGGATAGACCCAGAGCCTAAAAGTACCAAACTCATGTTCACCTGACTGAACTAGCTAGCAGGTTCTGTGCAGGGAGAGAGAGAGAGAGAGAGAGAGAGAGAGGAGAGAGGGAGAGAGGGAGATTGGAAAATTCGAAATCACCAGATACAGTACTTTCAGAAATACATTTTAATACTAACCAACATGTTTAATGAAGGCATGGCTTGAATTCTTATCAGAAAACTAATGGGACACATTTTCTCATTCTCTCTCCTGCCTTTGTTCCTTCCTTCCTTCCTTCCTTCTCTGCCCTTTTCTTTTATTCTCTCTTTTTAGTTTTATTTTGGTTGTTTGTGTAACAAAAATATATAAAGCCAACTGCCTTCAAGATACATTTATATGAGAAATTTCTACAGCAAGACAGTGGAGAAGTACTCCAAAGACAATGTTTAATGTTGAGCACCAAGCGCGCTATGGATGTTTCTTAAATATAAAAGGACAAATGCTAAATACCTATCTCTCCAATGGTTTTGCCTTGATTCCTTAAACCTCTTTGAAGGTCACCATAGTTTAGATAAGAGCAGTTTCAGGAAGGCTATACCCAGCCCTTCCTTACATTTTTAAATAGCCTTTATAAAACCTTTTCAAAAATAATTTTTCTTTAAATCTAAATCACATAGGATTGACTTGTACATGTTTTTTCCTTGCTTTATATTTGAGTTTTGTTCTTATTAATGCATCAAACTCCACCACATTGATAGGTATATGTTTGCTTTCTATGGGAAAAAGCTAATAGCCTTTATCACAAATTAAAGGCACAGCTATTTTATGCCATTTGTTACCAATTTAATGATAACATGTAACACTGAATGGTTATAGATTATATAGATTTTCTCTTTATAAGTTATTCTCTTATTCTTTCTAACATATATACAATATACATATATTTATATATACCCCTGATAAATCTTGTTTTAAAGGTAAAACATCAACTCCTTTCAGCTTTATGGTGAATATCAAAGCCTGTCAGTATTTCACAACTCCACTAGTGAAAGGATGGTCTAGTGGACCTTACCAGTACTTTGTAACACTGTATCTATCATTGGTATACAATGAACTCAGATTTGTTTCTTGTTCTTAAAATTTGTTTATATCATGTCAGTAGAAAATCATAAAAATCATAAACCCACAACAATAGTTAATGCTTCGTTCTGTCATCATATTCAAAACAGAAACCTTTGAGACAACCCTACTGGTATGATATAAAGGGCATATGGCAGAGACACAACAGTCTCTTATAAGATATGTACTAACAAGAAAGATCTTTACTTTGTATCATCTGAAAGATCATCCGAGACTGTGATTGCTCCTTGGAACAGAATGGTTGTACTCGTTTCTTTCTAAATACCCATGAGACATGGGTTTCTCTGTGTTCCGATATAAACTCATTACAGACAGTTCCCTGTTTCCAGCGATCCTTCTTCAGGGCGGGAAATTAGTGCGTGGTAAGAAATCACCTTCACTGATCCCTCTCCCACCCTTAAGCCTATCCCTGTTCTAACTCCCAGCTGGGCAGGAGGGGAGAATGTTGACCAGGGAGGCCTCCACAACACCATCTGGTGTTTATTTTTTACTACTGCTTACTGGTATGAAATAGTTGTTCATTCTACCTTTTACAATTCTTTAAATCCTAATGGCATAGATTGAGACACAGCACTACGGTTTTACAAGACATCTACTGTATCTACGTTGTGGGGATAAATACCCAGTAACTGCTGTCATAGCGAGAGGATCAGCGCGGGTACTACTATTCACAGTGTTGCTTTCGTTTTTTTGTGATATTTTTCCTTTTTTGCATTATTTGAATCTACAGAGTAAATTATATATACATTGGAACCAGTTAATGCCCTTAGACAATGTGTAGTTGTTTCATAAAGCAGGAAAGACAATGCAGGGGGAAACAGGTGCCCAAAGCACAGTCACAAAGGCTTCAGGAGGTCTAGATACCACTACGAGTCAATGCTGGAGGTCACTTCTAAAACTGTTCAAGAGGAATGCTTTAATTTGGAGAAAATACCACTCCCTCCCTCCCGCCCCCAATCCCGTCCCTCTTTTAATAATCTTTTTAGTTCACTATCAAAAGTCCTGGCTCTTCATATATACCTTAAACTATAAATAAACACTGCATAGTTCTCTTTTGTTTTTCTGTTTTGTTTTTTGAAAAATTATTGCAGTACAGTAACTCCTGCTAGGAATTCAGTAGGGAGCAAAGAGCACAGGAGTGTGGGCGGTCCGAATGGGTCCAGGCGCTGGCCGCAGGAGTGCGGGCGGAAGTGCAGAGGTCTGGAACAGCGCGGCTGCTGGAGCAGTTCGGAGACTGAAGGGAGAATTCACAGCCACTGCAGCAGCTGCTGCTGCAGCTGCTAATGGGTTTGGAAGAATTCTGGGAGCCAATGGCTTTGAAGGTTCTTTTGAAAATACTAATTTTACCTGAAAGGAAAAAAAAAAAGATGAGAACCAAAGTTTTGAAATCTGTACTTAGAATCCAAAATGATAGGCAGTTTGAAAAATACATCAATGAACAGCTATAAACATAAACTCATACTTTTGTATTGACAATAAAGAAAATGGAAAGTATAGAACATTTTCTTTCCATTTGGAAGAGTTGGAAAGAAACTAAAAATGGTCTACCAAGAATATTGAAGAATTCTCCAGAAAAGTGTTCAGCAACATTATTTGATTTTTGCTGAAAATTATACTTCTGGGGGAAAATATTCATTATGAAAAAGGATAGGAACATTTCATGCTACCCTTTACAAAAAGCAGACATTTTTAGAGAGCCTCATTACTATCTGTACAATTAGACTGTCCAAGTAGGTAAACTGAGTGGCAAAAACCATGTAGCTTCTTGTTGTGTGAGGTAGTACTCAAAAAAAAAAAAAAAATTCACCTTCAATAACGTAAAGAAAACTTATTTTCTCCAAATTTTGACATGTTCCTCTTTTATTTTGCAAATGGCTATCATGTTCTCTCGGTCTTATTCTACAAAGCCAGTTCATTCTCTGGCTAGCAACATTAATAAAAGTGAGATACCTGTTCTCACTAGAGAGAATGTTCCTACTTAAAGAAGCAGTAATGCAGGGATAGTTAAGAAGTTAGGTTGAGTCTAATAGTAACAATTTACTTGCTTGTGGAAGCTGCATCTGCTGAGAAAACATTCAGGGTTATGACTAGTGGTGCTGAACTATCAGCTCTGAACAATTCATCATCTTTCATTGCAGTTAAAATTGTATTTGGAAAAAATATTAAAGTCACCTTGTTCTCATTAAATGGACAATCCTACTAAATTAATTGAGTCAACCCATAGTGGGGTCTCGTAATCGATGACTGGAATTTTCCTATATTTTCACATGTTAGCTGTACATAGTAGCAGCTGTTATTAATAAGATCTATTTAAAGAAAATAGACTTAAAATATATGATTTGGCTTATACTATAGGTCAACTATTCCTAATGTTTCATTGAGACCTGGGTCTCTATGCTGAAAGTGATGATCACCTCAACTAGGAGAAAAGCTAAGGTCCATCAATACTATCATGCATTGTAAAAAGGCTTCTCAGACTGTCTGTAAAACTCTACCAAACAATCCAGGGGAGGACATTACACTATTATACTTTCTAATCTAACCAACACATTTAGCATAATGTGGAGAGTGCATTTCTCAGGATATATTTTCCCAGGTCTAATATACTGTTCTTACATAAATAAGTAAAAATTAACCCTGAAACTGTATTTTAAAACTTCAAAATTATCAAGAATACCAATAATAACAATGCTCTCTTTGTCTCTTGAATATATGAAAAAGGCAATTCAAAAATTTGTTTTCACTGAACTTCTTTAAATGTTCACTAACAGCAAGACCAGTTTTAATGGAATTACTCACTGAACTCAAGAGTCTGGCTTTTCTCCTTCTGCTGTGCTCTGTGATAAAACTGAATCCAACTCAAAGAGGTAAAATACTAGGTTGTTGTTAAAGATGGCAAAACAATGAAATAAATTATGAGACCAATAATTCCATGGTAGAATAGAAGCTGGACTCAAAAAATTAATTGTTTGTGATTCTTAGGTATATTCTATTTATTACATTTAGTAAACAACCTCTCCTGCCCCCCACCCCAGACACATACCAAAAGAAAATACAAGTTCAGCAGACTGCGAGACAATAAAGACATTATACAATCTTCTGGCAAGCAAAAACAACACTCACCCCCAGTGGATGTGCTGTTTTCTGCAGTTTGTTGTAGGGACTGTATTTAGGTTTGGGGGGCTTCCCAGCAGCTCTGTCTTTGTGCCTTCTACTGCTAATGTGCTATTAAATGCAATTAAAAACAACAGCTTTAAAAACTCATCCCCTCAAACTTATCTAAAATACTCTTTAACTTGGGGAAAAATAATAATTATTTCATGCAAGTTTCAGAAAGACAAAAATAAAAGAACATGCACTTTTGCCCTTGGATTCTGATGCCTTCAGGATCTATTTTCTATGCTGTCCATTTTTGTATATTTTTATCAAATAAAAAGATCTTCTTTTTCTCCAGCTTTTTCCCTTAGCATTGCACACATCTCCATTTTTAGAAGTGTTTACAAAGGAAAGAAATGTCTGGAGGAATTTTATGTGCAAATAAACCAAGATGCCCAGGCAGGCATGAATTTATTTCCATAGCAATATTTATCCCTATATTTGTACAGCCAAATGTCAACCCCTTAAATTCTAAAGATAAACAACTAAGGTACATAAAGCCAGTAAAATATCATACATATACATATAAAATACAACAGAAGAGCTGGGCTTTCAGTTGGAAATATACAACTGACCTCTTTAGAAGGCTATTCAGAGTACAAATGAATGCAACATGATTAGGCATACCTTTAGCATACCTTTAGCTACCTTTAGGTAGCTGCAGAAATATAGTACAATACCATATAATAAAGAACATACAATAGAAGAATGGCACAGTACAAAAAGAATTGTGGCATGCAAATATCTAAAAGATAAAAATGGAACACTACAAATTGATCTTTTAATAAAAATCAATACTTTTCAATGGGAAACCTGATAGAGAAAAGATCTGACACTCTTTCCTTTCCCACTATTCACATACAAAAATAGTGAAAACTCACCGCCAACAATTTACAAAAAGTCCTAGTAGCCACTGCATTTTAGTTATTTCCCCAGCAACTAAAATATTCATGTATATATATATATATACATATATATACTAAAATATTCATATATATATATATATATATATATATATATACACACACACACACACACAGTAAACAGAAGATAGGTGGGCAGGTAGGTGGATGGATGGGAAAACAGTTGGAAATTAAAAGGAAGAAAGAAAGCATATACATTCTGATTATAAGGGTGTTTCTAATTTGTTTTCATTCCCAGACTATGTGTTGCCTACTTGCTTAAGTTGTGTTTCCGAGTTGACATGCACATCGCAGATTTCACAGTGAAACGTTTTGTTTTGGAGGCCAGTGTTTCCCTTATTAACAGGTCCTTTGCCTTTTACTCCTGCCCGAGGAAAGGCTTTTATAGTCCCACTTCCATTTCGTGCTTCTAGCATGGTTTTGTGCTTAGTACCTGCGGGAATATTTAAGAAAAAAAAGGGGGAGTCTTTGCTAGTATATACCCTCAAGAAACAGTATAGGAAAAATTTGAGGCCTTGTTTTAGTGCACTTCTTCCAGGGATTATGGCTCAAGTATGTTCACAGAACAGACTAATAACGAATGCTTATCATCTTATATAACATTATTAAATTATTCATTTGCAAAAATGCTTCACGTTACAAATAAGCACTATCAATGAATGGGGAAGAAAATACGAACCAAGATATATCATGTACAGGTATGAGCACCCAATGATAAATGTAATCGTATTGTATACCTACAATGTACCAATAAAAGAACTTAAGCAAAAAAAAAAAAAATATAGTAACTAAAGTTGAGAGCCCTGAGACAAAATTAAATGGGTGCGACTTAGTTTTATTTCCTCTTGATGCTAGTAAGACATAAATGTTAGGTGACAAGGAAGAGTGACATACTTGCTAGAGGTATAGTTGGAAGTGATGTACCAAATACAATCACTTTAAACATGGTGTGTTTACAGGAGCGGCACTAACTAAATACCCACTTTCTAAACAGAATACAAACAAGCTTTCTTGACTATGTGTTTTCAGTTCGAAGAGGAATAGTAATAGTAAAAAAAGATCTTAATGATTGATAAAACAGCCACATTGGGACAGGAGAGCCCACACTGTTAGCCTATTTCAATTCAATTGCAAACAAGTGGCAAAGAAGATGAAGGGTAGATTCACAGGATAGGCAGAAATGCGAGTCAGTGTGCTTCATTTTAGCAAACCATTAACATATTCAGGCTGCCACACATGACTAATGTAACTCCATTTTTCAACCATTAACACTTTTTTGAGATCACCATAGTTGTATACAGTTCATGATGGGAGTTCTCCCTCAAAAATTTGCTTTAATTTTGCTTTTTCTTTGAGTAGATAAATGCTTTTTATTTTTACCACTTAGTGATTTTTAAATATTCTTATTTGGTAATTTCTGCTTCTTCTTTTGTATTTATTATATTGTTAGTTCTGCAAACATTCAAAAAAATGCTTAACTTGCAAGCTATGGTCAGGCTTCCAGAACCAGAATGTTGAAAAAACAATGTTGGGGGTGCTGTAGGTTTTTATAAGTTATATCAAGTTAAATAACAGCCAAATCCATGAAAAAAAAACCCAAACAAACCCTTACAGCCACATATCTCCTTCATTCAAAATGATCATAACTTTATTTAGTCCAGAGTACATGATTATAACTTTGACTGCTTGCTTTGAATATCCATATTCCTTTGCAAAGCTATTGAAATGCTCATGTCAGCATTAAGGAAAGAAAAAGAAGTCAGCATCTTGCAAGAAGACTGGCAAACTGGAACATGGAGCCACAGATCTGCTCTACTGTGGTGGTTGTGATTCCTCACTGAGGTTTGCTTTGGGCCGTCTCACTTGCCATAGTGTAAGCACAAGTGCCTTCCATTTTGAAGATGTGTGAATCAGAGAAGGGGGGAAATGTCTCAGGGAACAAACGAAAATATGTAGATGGCTGTCCAAATTTCTATGTCCAAACAGATGATTCTATAAAAAAAGTTTCCTGTGCAACATTTTCATTCAAAATGGACTCATTCATGAGGCCAGTTTGGCTTATGTATGGTTAAGAAATCAATAGATTAATTCTCATTTAGACCTTCTTCAGGGACTCCTGGTTCACTTTGGGCTGATATCATTCATGACTTGGAACTTGAGTGGAGAAGTGGAATTCTCTTTCTCTCTCTCTCTCTCTCTCTCTCTCTCTCTCTCTCTCTCTCTCTCCCACACACACACACACACACACACACACACAAATATGCTAAGACGTGAGGAAGATTTTCATTAATAGCTTTAGCTCTAGGATTACTATTTATCACATAGAATTGAACTTTTGTGCATTATATCTTCATGCACTTAGTAACAGACTGTCATACTGAAATAGCTGTTTGATAGTTTTATGTTTTTAAAACTTGAATAGATTATAAAGTAGATATATTTCCTCCAAATATAGCTAAAATTCAGTAAAAATGTACTCTTAATTTGAATGTATTTACATTTTCAAGAGGTAAAATGTACATGGATAATATGAACTGTGATTATTAAAACTCATTCCATCTTTAATCATTTCAGATGCTGTGTATTTTTTTCTGTGTGCATAACTGCTGTATGAATTATTAATTGAGATTTAGAAAGGTCAAGTTACTTGCCTGGTCAAAATGCTAGTACCTGGAGTCTCTGGTAAGTACAAAGTGGATTCCTAGCAAAGTCCCTAACAATCCACTCAGGATTTCTAAGCCATCTGGATGCAGTTACCCACAAATCTCCCACAGTAGCTTGAATTTTTTTGTTACATGCTAATATCGTCTTCTCAAATTTGATTTTGTCTTTCAATCTCCCTTCACTTCTTATTTTCAGTGTTCTTTTTTGCTTAGCCGATTTCCATTAATCATGATACTTTGAAAGACTGTGGCTTTGCTTTGCAATGGGCAGTGATATCTATAACCTCTGGTTTCAACATCACTGTAAATATCTTGAGGTCTCCTGCCTACTCCTGTGACCACTCAGCAGGGTGCTAACATGTCTGTTTGTGCACTTGATTCTTTCCTCCTCTGAGGAGAGCACCCACAAGAAGCCAAGTGGACTATTTTCCTCTTGTCATTTTTAAAGACTGACACTAATAATAGCCTTCATTTGAAGCTTCATGATTTCAGAAAAGAGAAACCATTTTCCAACTGCAGTTTAAATTCAGCAAGTCATAAAGCTCCAAAACATATCCAGTATTTGCTTTTTGCTTATTTATTTAGTTGTGGGTATGTTAGAACACGGTACTTATTGCTCATATATCTGTACAAATCAAAGGCATGTTGGGAGGAAGGGGCCAGTATTCCTTTCATTCCCCATGCTGTGTAGGACTTATTTTTTTAGTGTCTCTGAAGTATCAGTATAAAGGAAAGTCTGATAAGGAAAATGGACAAAAGATTTTAAAAATTGTAAATATTTCATTAGGAATAATTTATTAAGTCATTAAGCAAATAGAGAAAATTTCCAAAAAACCCAATAAATATAATTTATCAACTAGAAATATATGAAATTCTTAATAACATTTATTAGTATTGATCTTTTATTTTTAATTTGTATATGTGGATTTTCAAAAGTCTGAATAACTTAGCTAAGGCAGTATCACATAAAAATTCTTGTGGAGGGCCGGGGATTTAGCTCAGTGGTTCCGCCGCCTGCCTTGCAAGTGCAAGGTCCCGAGTTCGATACCCACTACCAAAAAAAAAATTCTTGTGGAATTGTATTTGTATATACTTTTGGAAGGGCACATGATTTTTAATAATAACACAGAACTTGCACTATAGATATTATAACCACTTACCTAATCTTAGTCATTTACATTAATTCCCTTTTTCTTATATAACTAGGCTTTAATGAACATAATACTCATTACACCTTTTATGAAATATGTGGTAGTTTCCTTAGCACAGATTTTTTTCCCAAGTGCTATTAAAAGTATAAAGAATCTGTCTATTTTTAAATCTCTTGACCTAACCTTTCTAAAATTTACAAAGAAAGTTTCAGAGGGATTTATTTTACAGGAAAATCTATCTTGGCATAGTCTGGAAAGTTAGACTTTTATGAAATAAATTTCAAAAGCTGTTTAATTCTCTAGAATGCCCACCAATGCTGTTACATTTAACAGCACTTGACCAGATCCTTAACAAACTCATGTAACTGCCAATACAAATTTACCTTCTCATTGACAAATTCAGTGATTCAGCTTATATATAAATGGACAGGAAAGTGAAAAGTACCCATACAAATGGCAAAGTGCAAGGGTGGTTTTCTTTCATGTGTTTTTGCTACTCAATATAATAGTGTTAAATATCAACTCGTATGTGTCCTAAGGAAGAAAGTTGTCTTGAATCTATATATTCAAAATGAATAATAAACATCAAAAGCCTCCATGTGTTTTTTATGCCATTAAATATAAAAGTTTACCACATTCCTGAAAGCATGTATTTTTTATGTTAATTGTATTTGCATTTTGTCTCAGTGGAGGAAAATAACCCACTTTGGTATACTTTTATCAGCATATCAACAAAAGTTAAACATCTAGGATGCCTTCCATGTGTCAGGTGACAGAGTAATTTGAAAATTTATATTATTTCTGTTAGTTTCATGGCTGAAATTAATTTACTAATTTACCAATAATGAACCTAAAGTTCAGTTTGTAGAGGTGAGACAAGAGACAGGGAAAAGAAGTCTAAAACAGGGAAAAGTTCCTAGAGAAAGTTGCAGAGTCCAGACAGGAGGTAGACAATTTACACAAGGATCCAAAGAAAGCCAGAGAAGGGCTTTGCAGGCCCAGGGACTCAGAAAGCAGAGCACTTGACTGGGTTTGACGAGGTCAACATGTAAAAGCATGAAATCCAGCAATAACTGTTAAAGTCTAAGCATGTAAGGAAAAATTTCAGACACCTGAAAAGCCTCTTTTACACAGAAGGCCCTGAAACCCTGAATAGAGAGCATGGAGGCTTCTCCTGAGCTCCTTTATAGATGGGCATGAAACAATCTATGTGCATTTATCTCACTCCTTTTAAAAACATGGAAAATATCATATTGCTGTTATATCCAAAAGCCTTCACACAATTCACATTCACCATCAACACAGAGACAAACTAGCTAGCTGAGTGTCGTGGGAGACACCTTTAACCCTGGATACTCCGAAGGGTGAGGGAGGAGGATGTCAAGTGCAGGAGACTTTTTCTCAAAATAAAAAATAAAAAAGGATGAGGATGTAGTTCAGTGCAAGGGCCTGTGTTTGACCTCCAACATTGACAAAATAAATAAATAAGCCACATTTCCTTAGTGCAAATGGGATATGATACCATCTCAGTTATTTGTAAAGCAGTGTTTTTACTTTTTATGTAAACTAGTTTTGTTTCATTTATTTTTACTTTTTAATGACAGGAACAGATGCTCATG